GGGGGGAGGGGCTCCATGGGACGTGGGGATCAGATCCTCATGTCAATGGGGGAGGGGACCCACGGGGGCTGGGGATCGGACCCCATTTCAGTGGGGGAGGGGACCTCGGGGGTTGGACCCAGCCCCATGTGCCTGAGGGAGGGAATCCCAGGGAGATATTGGGGGATCTACCCCAGGAATCCCCCATTCCTTAAGGGGCCTCCGGGGTTAACCTCCCCCAACCTCCCCAGCCCCTCTGCATTCTCGCTCCCAGATGGGGTCTTGCCAGGTGCCTGCAAACTTCGCAGGAACTTCGTCTCCCCGACCCACTTCGCCTCCGACCTCCAACCACGGCCTCTGCGGGGCTGCCTGACGTCTGACCCCCCTTGGGACCCCGAAGTTCACATCATCCTCTCCAAAGGAACCACGCCCGGGTATGAACCGTACATCAGAGCATCCTCCAGGGCTGGGATAGCGGGGGGCTGTGGGTTGGGATTGAGGGGCACCAGCAGAGCTGGGGGCAGGGGAGAGCCCAGGGCTGGGATAAGGGGTGTGTGTGTGCTACGCATCAGGATTGAGGGGCACCAGCAAAGCTGAGGGGTGGGGGGGAGCCCACAGCAAGGACAGAGGGGGCTTTGGGTCGGGATAGAAGGGCACTGGCAGAGCTGGGGGGGCCCTCCACCCCTTTTGCTGCTCAGCCCCATGGCAGGAAATTCCCAGCCCAGCTGATGGGGGGGGGGGTCCCTGCCGTGTCTCCAGGCCCCCAGCCCATCTCACTGTGGAGCTCCAAGCGCCCGGAGGCTGCTGCTCCCCCCGGCGGGAGCTGATCGTGGTGCTGAAGAGCGAGGGTGCCACCAGCTGGCTGGTCCGGATCCACCACATGGCCGGGCGCCTGCGAGTCCTGGTAAGAGAGGGGCTCCCTGGGGATGGGAGAGGGGTTACGGGGGCCAGGAACAGCCCCCCATCCACAACCCCTCCATGCACACAGGCTGCTCCCCTGTGACCCCTCCCCCCGACCAGTGTCTCCCCCATGACCCTGACCCTTTGGCCTGATGCCCCATGGCGTCTGCTGAGCCCTCATGACCTTTAACCTCTGATATGGTTTCTCCTCCTGGCCCCAGCCCACTCTGGCCTGGTGTCCCCTTTTGCTAAGGTGAACCCAGGAGTCCTGGCGCCCAGCCCAGCTCCGCTGGTTCCAAGTCCTCTGGCTCCTGACTCAGTGGCTGGGGTGGAGCTGCCCCTCTCTGGAACTTCCCAGCCACTCCTTGCGCTGACACCTTGTTCACCTGGTCTGCTCATTTGTATAGCATTACCCATGATGCCTTGCTCCAGCCTCAGCCTGATCACCCTGAGCTGGAGCAGGGTCCAGGTTGGCCTTGGGCTCTGTCACTCTGCCCTTCCCTCCATTTCCTTACAGGCATCCCACGAGGTCTCGGTCAGCAGCACAGAACCAGAACCGGACCTGGCTGTGAGCAGCAGCATTTCCCTGGGCCTGGCCTATGCCAGCGATCCCATGGCCTGGGCAATGGAGCAGGGGCTGCCTGGGATCACATCTTACACAGAGGCTGAGCAGGTGAACAGGTTCCTGGTCATCGTGGGGCTGGATGGTAGGTATCTCCTTGGGGGCAGGGAATGGGCACAGGGTGCAATGCCATGGGAGGGCCATTAGGGGGCCCACCTGACTCAGACCCTGCCCGGCCTCCAGTGCGGGGGGAGCTGGGAGCTGCAGTTCTGCCCTGTGGCCCCCTCTCCCCAGGCACAGCCAGACCCTTGGCGGCCGCCAGTGATGGGCGAGGCTCATGCCCCAGACAATGCCCTCAGGGCTGGCATGTCTGCCCCTCCCAGGGCACCGTTACATCCAAAACCCCAGTGCCATGGTGAAGGGGGGGAAAATGGGGACTAGGACACAGAGCTGGGCAGTTCTCAATCCAGCCAGCAGGGGGCAGAGTTGCTCTCTTTCTCTCATGTCCCCTCACCCTGTTCACCATCCCGCCCTGTTTCCTTCTTCCCCTCTGCCCCCTCACTCTGTTTTCTCCTGCTAGGGGACCCCAAGGCCCCCCACCCCTCCATCCTGCTCCCCAGACCTGCCAAGATCTCCCCCATGGTCTGGGAGAGGAGCCGGGCGGCCTCGGGAGGCGGGAGCGCTGTGCGGCTGGCAGGAGCTCTGTCTGTGGCGTGTCTGAGCGAGAGGGTGGCTGTTCATGTCAACAAGGACATGCTCCAGGTGAGGAATCCCCTTGTATAAACAGTTCCTTCAGTGCGGCACTAGGGGGCGCAGTGCTGCAGGGAGTGTTGTGGGGGCTCAGCAGGGGGCGCTCTCCCCTCACAATCAGTGCTGGTCCCAGGGCGGCACTAGGGGGCATTGTGCTGCAGGAAGTGTGGTGGGGGCTTAGCAGGGGGCACTTTCCCCTCACAATCAGCGCTGGCCCCAGGGCGGCACTAGGGGGTGCTGTACTGCGGGGGCTCAGCAGGGGGCGCTCACCCCTCCCAGTCAGTGCTGGCTGTGTCAGTCTCATAGTCTCCCCCCACCCGCCTCGCCCAGGCTGTCAGACTCTCCCCAGCCCGAGTGACCCTGCGGGACCCCAGCTGTGCAGCCCAGTCCAATGGCACCCACTTCCTGCTGGAGTCTCCCCTGGCCGGCTGCGGTGCCCTGCGCATCCCGGCCCTGGACCCCACGTCGGGCGTCTGGCGGTACCAGAATGCGGTGAGCTGGGGGATAGGGGGCACAATGTGGGGCTGAGAGTGCATGGGGGTGGGGGGAGACGTGAAGTGAAAGAGTCTGGGGGTCTGCAAAGGGGTTAGAATGTTAGGGGAGTCGAGGGGACCAGGACAGGGTCAATGGGGGCTGGACAGGGCTGGAGAACAGGGTGACACTGGCAGGGCCGGCTCCAGGGTTTTGGCCGCCCCAAGCAGCCAA